CCCTTGGGAAACAGGCCTTGATGTAGGCCTTGTCTGTATCCCATGGGTAGTAGCGTAGTGGCCCCCGGTACTCACAAGGATGAACCTGCGGAAGGTTTCTCCAAAGAATATTACAAAGGGAACATTTGTAATGTCTATGTGGCCAGTGCATGGCCCTCCAATAGCCCTCCATATAGACCCCGCAGTGACCCCATCAGGTAGAGGTGTAAAGGTATAGTACACCCGGCCGAGCAGGTCACACATTGCCGCCACAGTCCTATCACAAGACCAAACACTTGCATGCATTTTACTCAATGGTCAAGATTTGCCTATGCTTCTGTCTTTTAAGCATCTCTTTTATCACCCTTAAGTGCTTTGCTGGCCAATGCCCTGATGGGTTGGGCCCACGCTTTTGCTGGTGTGGCGAATCAGTCAGATTGTTAGATTTGCAAGGAACTGCCTGCCAGTTCAGCCTCCAGGTTGCCATGAAAAGTTCGCCACTCCGAGTGGCAATGGCTGTACAGATGGACATAGAAAGACAACCCCTAGGACGTTACTTGAACTGAACTGGGACTCTTTCTCACTGGCCAGTTGGATTGTCCCACCCGTAATTGGGGCACTCTATATAAAAATAATTTGAGGTTGCTAACTACAGAGACAATAGAGGTGCCCTTTCAGGCTCCTTACTGTATTATGCTGTTATTATATTATATTGTTATTGTTATTTTTTGTAGCTCATAGTGCAATACTCCAGGTTCCTCGCACAGGGTCATTCGCAGAAGACACCTGGCACGTAGATTGTGAGGCGAGACACTGGAGGGGTGTAGTGTAGGGAAGGGCCAGGAGAGCAGTTCCCAGGCTCTTGGCCTTGCTTACAAGGTCAGTGGCTTGTTCTAATGCCAGCTCAGACTACCTGGATACTCCCCTTATGTAATGAGCTGGCTGTAGGCCACCTTTGTTCTGCATGCTATTTAACTGTCCAGACTGCCCAGGCGGGCACAGATGTCCAGTGGATGCTGTTCCTGTGTCGCCACTGGACATCCTCCAGAATATACCTGTGGTATGAACCCTTTGCTTAAGGCTCTGTTGTCTTTTTTCAGCCTCAACATATCCAACAACTGCCAGGAGTTGAGATCCTCTGTTACAGTTTGCAAATGTTTTCTCCCATTCCATAGGTAGCCTTTTCACTGATAAGGAATCTGAAATGCACTCAGTTGCCATGCATCTCAAAATTTTGTTTAAGATCTAGGTGGAGTTGACTCTTCAAATCTCACTCCCTTCTTATTACCTGTGATGCCTCTCTCATATCAAGGCTATTATCACCATCCCTAGACAGTTATTGTGGACCATTATGGCTTATCTCCATCCGGGCTTTCCCTCACCCCATGCATAATGCTAATCAATTAGTAGCACTCATTCTAAATTTTGAAGATTAAAGAGGAAAAAGAAAGTATCACCTTTGTGCAGAATGCAAAATGAGATGTCAAAAGGCAACATTAAGTTACTGTTACGTCAAGGTTTTCAGAGAAACAGAATCAACAGGATATGTATATATCTATATATTTATCTGTAGAGAGAGATTTCTTTTAAGATATTGGCTCAGATGATTGTGGAGGCTTGTTAAGGTCAAATTTTTCAGGGTAGACCAGCAGGCTGGAGATGGAAAGAATTGCAATTCAAGTCCAAAGGCAGCCTGCTGTCAGGGTTCTTTCTACCTCCAGGAGGTCAGTCTTTGTCCTATGAAGGCCTTGAATTGATTAACCCACCCATATTAGAAAAGGTAATCTGCTTTACCCAAAGTCCATGAGTTAAATGTTAATCTCAGCCAAAAAACACTTTCACAGAAACATCCAGAATAATGTTTGGCCAAATATCTGGGCACCATGGCCCAGACAAGTTAACACATATAATTAGTCATCACAATGACCTTGGCAAATTCCAAGTGTCTTTGTCCATTACTTAGGTTTTCAGAAATGGACATACAGTCTAGTCATTGTTCCAGAGTAGATCAGACCCAAGTCTCTTGTTTTAGTTCATGGAAACCAAGGAATCAAAACCTTAATTTAGAATTTTTTTTTTTGGAAAAAGAAATCTGTTTTATTCCTTTTGCACAAAGAAGTATATGAAGAGGGCTATCTCCTGACTCCATATATTTGTTACACAAAAATGTCCCTTCAAATATGCTCAGTTATGCGCCCCACTTCAGCCTTGGAGAATCTGCAGTTAATGGATTGGGCAGAACGTTGTCTCAGGAAGGTTTTTTTGAAACATTTTTGTGGGAAGTTTTGGATCAAGAGGAAAGATTAGATCCAAGAATGGGTGTTCCATCATCCATCTTCTTGGTGAAATCCAAATTCTGAAGGTTTTCTGAAAAAAGGCCACTCTCTCAGCAACCAAGGGAGGGGAAGAACCCAGACTTACTGCCTGGGTGTAAGGTTGAGGCAGAGAAAGGATGGGATTAAGCAGCAAAGATTGTAGACCCAAGATAGAGGAGTGAAAAGCATGTGGGGAGCAAAGGGGACTAAGAACCCAGAGGCCCAAGTCATAAATTCAACCCCCTCCCTAGTTATGAGCAGAAACTCTTCTTCCCAAGAGTAGAATGGAGTTTTAGTTCAGGGACTGGCTTTCCTCCAGGCAAAAGCCAGACAAAGGGATAATAAAGGTACAGAGTTAAGGTAGCAGACCAAGAGATGGACATTCCCACCATAACACAGACCACAGCAGTTTTGAAGCTAGAAGCCAAATTCAGAGTAAATAATGCAGCTGTGACTCAAATACAGAGTTTTATAAGTCCATATCCAATAAAATTTAAATCACTGCTTCTTCCACTCTGTCCCCTGCCTGTGAGCTGCTCCAATCTTTTTTCAAAGGCTGGAGGATGAGACATTAAGAAGGAATGCGAGAAAATGCTGAGGCCAGTAACTGGGGCTGTGGCTGAGACTGGGCATAACTCTCTCCACCCCCTCCTTCTATAGAATTCTCTCTTTCCCTCCCCTTGCAGGATATATGGGCTGTTGGGATAAAGGCCTGGTAAAGGTAAAGGGAGAAAACACTCAGAACACTCTTTCTCCTGCTTTGATCTGAAGTGTAGCTACAGCAAAGGGCATAGAAGTTGAGAAGAAAATAAGGGGGTACGAGAGCATAAGGAAAAAGGGCTTCCCTGCCCTGTGTCCAAATCTGCCGGGAGCTTCACTCCCAGAACTGCCAAAAAGAGAGAAGGAATGGGAAACCCCTAGGGGCTTGGAAGGGGGCCAACCACAGATAGGATGGAGAGATTTAAAGATCCCCTGTGATCCCCAAGATGATCCTGAGAGCATCAGTTGGGGGACTGGATGAGAAGTCACAGCAGACATGTGGGTATTTTGAGGGGGTGAGGAGCCAAGAACAGTGGGGTCTTCACTGAGGGAGTGACCACTTGATCTATTCTTTGGCTGACTGCAGCACCTGAGACACAGTCTGTTCCATAAGGGGGACATATTCACCCCTTAATGCCACCCAGTGTGCCACTTACTGGGGATTGCTCTCTAGGATCACCCCTCTGTCTATGATTTCATCCACAGCCAAGAAGAGTGCCTCCATGTTCTCCAGCAGAGCTTGCTTTTCTACATTTTTCTTCAGCATCTAGCTCAATGAGTCAAAGAGGCAGTTCAGAACAGCCATGAGCATCAGCTCGTTTTCATAGGAGCTGCCAATCACATAGAAATAGAGATCAATACTGCTTTTGTATGCTACTGTCAGGCCTTCCAAGAGGGCGATTTCACTCTCAGTCCAATGGGTCTTGTTGAAAATGTTCTTCTCAAAGGCCTTTCGCACCTTGACACTGGGATAGGTGTCATCATAGTACTTGGCAAAAAGTCGATCTCCATCATTGTCCAGAATCAGGATGGCTTTGACAGTATACAGGGAGGATTCCAAAATCAGCGCCTTCATCTTGCCCC